ATGTGATAAAAGGCGGACATTTGGATATTCCCGTGATATCACACTGATGTAATTTGGATATCTCAAGATATCTCTGGGATATGGGATATCCTTAAACAGATATTACACTGATATCACTGTGATGTCGCTGTGCTATGTGGGAATTTGTGAGGAATTATTTGTCATGCGCGAGTATTCGCTAACCGCCATCCGGACGTTCTTGTGCAGCGTGTTACCACGTGCAATATTTTGTGTGCGTAACGTTATGTGCAATTAATTTTGTGCAATAGTTCTATTGTGTAAAAGAAAGAATCGAACGACGAGAAACGAAACGGAAGAATCATCCGATTGTCAACGAGCTTCGGTTAAGAGTATCTCACTGTTGAGTGAGAAATTATAATAATGGTGTAATGTTACTGCATATTAGATGTGTACATACATTGGGTAAATATTTTGTAATCCCCTTTGTTCTAACACTATTCCCCTTGAATTCATAAAGTTTACATTTATTGAATTCGAGATGAATACTTTAAGAAGTTGTCAGGAAAACGATTTATGGTGCATGTAACTTCCTCTGTCATTCTTATTGTATTCTTCTATGAATTCCTAAAGAATTACAATTCAGAAAAAAGAAAACTTAAAGAATACTTTGTGAATTCAGTGTACTATCTGGGTAATAACATCGGTGATTTTTTTCGACCTGGCAATTAAAATTCTTATTGCGAAAAATATTACCCCAGCCAGGATTCGAACCTGGGACCTCCCTACAATCTGTGACGGCTGTGACTGGGGCACAACCCGCACAGCCCCAGTGGTCGAGCTGGCTAAGACGCCCGTCACGGATTTTAGGGAGGTCCCTAGTTCGAATCCTGGCTGGGGTAATATTTTTCGCAATAAGAATTTTAATTGCCAGACACGGTCGACAAAAATCACCGATGTTATTAATTTAGTTACAACTTTGTTTTTTCCTGAGATTTATGAGATTTACTTCAACAATACTGTCATAAAATATTTTATTTACTTCGATAAAATATTGATACATTTTTTTTACTTCGATTAAAATATTTTTTCACAACAGAATGGAGATTGTTCTGATATCTTAATTATTAAAATAAACATTGATTTAATTTGATTATATATACATACTTTATTTATTATTTCCTGCAATATTTATCTGAGCAGATAAAGATCGATTTGACGTCGACTAGATGTCGACTAGACGTCAATAAATTGTTCTAGCTTCCTAAATGTAATTTTTTTACTGCGTTAAACTATATCGTTAAATTTTCTTTCTGCGTATCATTTCATACATATAAAACCATAGGCAAAATGTGATCGACGTCGAATCGATTATACAGTTTGAATCAACAATTAAGACATCGACATCAGTGACAAAAAGAGATCGATGTCGATTTTAATTTCGATTTCATTTCGAACACGCATATATCGACGTCGATTTGATGTCGGGTCGACATTTTTTGTCTCACTGGGTAGCGTCCAAAAAAACCAGCTATGTCCACCGCTGGATTTGAAACAGGATTTTGTCGTTCATTTATTAACTAATCAGCGCACATTTCTCTGCGCCAAGCTCGCCACAAGAAAACTTTTAATTTTTAAAAATAAACTTTTAGAGCTGAAAATTTACTTTTGAAACTTTAATTTTATTGAATTAAATTTTTCTAAGAGCTGTCGGGAAATGATAATGTATTTTGCATTTTTTGCATTAACAACTAATGTTGGCATATTTAAATGTAAACTATAAGAGGCGGCGATCACTTTACAGTGTTGAATCCATGTCATGGATCAATTACACACAACATACATAGCATTAGATTTACATTATTTCTGCTATATTGTGCTACTAGTTAGGTGACACGTTACGCTTACACGTCTACCAGATAATAGATTTTGCTCGGTTTTTTTACATGAATGTGGTATCAAATTACTTCCCTCAGATATTGGTGCCAAAATTGCTGGTGCATTATAATATTTAATGACAACTTGGCGACAAAGTGCTGGCTAATTCTTTACCGAGATCATATTTTATTTTTTTCAGAAAATATCATGTCTTATTACGTATCAAATTGGAAGAATAGTATAGATATCAAAAGGGTAAATGTAGAAGAGGATCATGTTGACTTTATCCATCAATCACATATGCGCAAAAGCGGACTTCAAGATGAAGAGCTTCTACTTCTGGAGTCTCCGGAAATATATTCCGATATTAAAAGACGAGAAATTTCTTGTAATTATAATATAAATGGATTGCCTACTATATTTATAGACCACAAGATTGGAAAACGTGTATGTGTTATTTCCAAATATTATCTGCTAATGTTTTGTAAAAAATACTCATAATTTTACTTTATTCTGCAAGATTCTGTAATATTTGACATTTTTTCTTAATACAGGTACTCGTCGAACACAGTTTCAGTATTTCAAAATCTTCATACCTGCAAGGAACAGATTATATTAATTCATCAGGTCGCCCATACTTAGAGAACATCCGTCATAATTGTGTTGGTATGTAATATTTGAATTTACAAATAAGGTATTATTAAAGAAAATATGCTTGTGTTCAGAAATAATTGCAGTTCTATTATTTACTTTGTAGATTTCGAGTTTCAAGAAGCTGTATATCCAATTAGGGTTTCTATACAGCAAGAACTGAATAGTTGGATTCCTGAGATAACAATGGAAATTTGGGCGCGAGATTCTGATCGGTGGTTTTTATTATGGATTGGAGGAATGCAGGTTCTTCGAAGTACACCACGACTGTTGTCCCCGGCTTTACGGGCCTGTGACTTTAAAACTAAAATGCTCAGATTAATATTTCCGTATGACGCTAAGGGAATACAGATAGATGCTGTAGAGCTCATCGGAACATCAGAATTGATTCAACCTAAAGATCCTAAACAGAGTTTGACCGATCTATTAAAAGATATTAATTGCAGCTATCCTGACCGTAAGGATATGCACAATTTAACACCAGATTACAAAAATGCAAATCTGGATGTATATCAACTTATGGAAAAATTTTCCGACTATTGTATTATTCGTAAAAAAAGGTATTGTAATCTTCGATAGTAAGTAATATTCTATTTTTATTAATATTAACGGTCAATTAATTTCAACATTATTTTTAGCAATTTACATTTAAATAATGGAAAATTGAAAGGCATCACACCCTCTTCAAGTGAATTCAAGAAGCAACCACGTTGTGATTTTTCTGTGCTTCCTGTAAGATATTCAACACATATTTAAAGAAGTTTCTTTCTTATAACAATATTTATTATAATATCGTGAATTTAAATTTTATATTTTATCCTTGCAGGAAGAGGTGATACTAAAAATACTGGAATACTTAGATTTAAGGTCATTGTGCCGTATGAGCCAAACGAATAAACGCATCAATCGATTAACACGAGATCCTTCGCTTTTTAAATATTTAAATATAGAATATTTGCGCATGTATATGTCTACCGATGATACTATTGGTGGTCTGCAGTGTAAAATTCTATCTAGCTTGGAATCCAGATGTGAGCACTTACAACAGTTGAATCTTGTATTCTGCGACATTACTAGTTCACGTTTCGTAATGTTTCTTAGAACTTGTGGCTCGAAGTTAACGTTCTTGCGATTAGCTTCTTGCAAGATTGACAACGATATCCTCTATGAAATTGGAAAAACATGCAAAAACTTGACAGGTACGATTATGATTTTTAAAAATAAAATAAAATTATGTCTGACTAATCATATACATTTTTTAGTGTTAAATTTGAGAAACTATAAATATACTATGGGCTACACTCTGGACGAAGGATTGTTGTACCTCCAACATCTAAAATTTTTAGAAGAATTAACCCTTGAATATATACGTATAGAAGACGATGAAACCCTTTGTACAATACTGCATGGAAAGCACCGATTGCATTATTTACATTTAAATGTAGATTATCTGCAACCTGCAAATCTAAATGATTTTTTAATAAACTTACGAGATAAAGCATTGTTTTCAAACTTGGAAACAATAAAATTATCGAGCCGTGCTATTGATTCGCGAGGTATTGGTGCCCTCGCTGAGTTCAGGAATTTACGAATGCTGAGGATTGAGACAGTGTAAGCTAGATTTTCTCTTACATATTATTATATTCTTTATCGTAATTTAATGTATTTACTCTTGCAAGTATCGTAAAATATATTATAGCGTGTTCTTCTCTTCACGAGAAATCGCAATAATAGTGTGGTTTAGTTACAGCTGTGAATATACAATCGATAAGAATGACTGGCGGAAATTGTTCTCTTCCTGTCAACGTCTGGAGACAGTGTATTTGCCGCATTTTAACAGTGTTATAGATGAAGCACTGACACACTGTAAAAATCTAAAAGAAGTACAGTTTTGGCACATACCTCAGATTCCCGAGAGAGTAGCAATTCTCGAGCAGTGTCCTAATCTGCGAATCCGTGTTATAAGAAGTAGCATTATTGACGAATTGCTGAAAAAATATCCACATGCGTCCATCTGCTTACATAACGATAATAATATCTGAGACAACTACTATCTACACTTCGAGTCAGATCTTATAATATTCTACAGCTTTTATATAAAACATTTTTCTCGAAAATGCGTACTTTTCGAAATATTAAGATGTTTCACACTTTTTATGCACCCCTATAAAGCGTTGTATTTCCTAACCCATAGCAAATACAAAAAAGTTTTATTTACATTTTGTGTTCTACTCATGCTCCTCTTTCACCTCCTCCCCAGTGAGAAATGATTCGTCGATCGACGTCGAAACGACGTCGAATCGACATCGACACCGTCGAATTGATGTATCGCTGTACGACACAAAAAAATAGCGCTAAATTAAAAATAGGCGGTCTAGTGGGATACCCTATATTAGAAAAAGGTCCTTGGTATAAAGTTGTGAAGGCTTCTATATCTACAGCTGGTATGTTTCAAGGTGCACGTGTCTGTAGACATATGTGCCTACCATTGATGGTTCGTCGCGCTTTTTTAATTGCCGCGTTTCGCTTTCGCCGAGCGTCCAGCCAATGACCAATCCTCTCGTCGTCGCCGCCGGGGATCGCTCAAGAGCGCATGACCGTTCTGTGTATAAATATATGTATGCGTATGGTATGATTGGTATGCGAGTACGGCAACCGGCGCGGTGACACTGGGTGACAGTTGACATTATCGACTACGGCTGGCTGTATTTACGAACCAATTGTCACGCAGCGTTGTTACAGGAGGCAATACCAGCGAAACTGACGCGAGACAGTGCGACGATCAAGTTTAGCGACGCTTTCGTTGTCGGAGCGAGAGAGAGAAAGACGATCCACGTTGAAAATTGGAAGACGATCGTAGGTTTCGTTCCGTTTCTGAATTGTCTCGCTCGTCGTGACAAACCACATTTCGTAGTATTTCCATTTTTCAGCTGCTCCTGACGGTCGTCCTCAATCGGATGCGCAAGGGGCTTTGAATTGTCGCGAAAATCGCTCTCTCGGTGTCCGAAGCGGTCCTCAGCGTACGCACGAGATGGAGGATGCGCAAGAAGAGGTTAGCCGTGGACGTTTCTTTATTATTTTAATTAAAACAAACTGTCTCGATACGAATCTCTCCGTCGTTCGTTTATCGGACACGGAGATCCAAGTGAATCAATTGTGTCTGAATGGCTGTTACAAGATCATTTCAAAGTGCGTACGCAATGTATAGAAAGAACCTGATTGCGACAAACTCGAGCTGGATCTTTCCTCGTCGTCAGAAGCTTGAGTCTAAAGTCTTGGCTATTTAATCCATCTTTCGATGCTAAATTTTAAAACAGTACTTCAGCGTCCGTTTGATTAAATTTCAAATGCACCCATGTGTGAAACGATTCTTAGTCTCGCTGCACTTCCAGCTGCAATTTGTCGTGGACGATGTGAGCAACATCATTAAGGAGGCGATCGAGGTGTCGATAGGTGGCAATACGTATCAGCATAACAAAGTTAATCAGTGGACCTCGAACGTGGTGGAGGCGTGCTTGGGCAACCTTACAAAGTTACAGAAGGCTTACAAGTATATCGGTGCGTACAGCAAATTTCTTAACGTTAGGAGACGGATTTTGTATCAACGTATCGACTCTGGGGTGTACTCTGGAACAATGTGCTTCATCCGAGTCACAACTTTTCCTCAATCAAATTGTATGTTTGCAGTGACTTGTACGATCATGCAGAAGAACGGCGCTGGCCTCCACACCGCGAGTTCGTGTTACTGGGACAACGCCACCGACGGCAGCTGCACGGTGCGCTGGGAAAATAAAACCATGTATTGCATCGTGTCAGTCTTCGGGCTGGCCCTGTAAGTCCGCCCGCCGAGCAAAATCCTGCGCCTGAGAAGATACATAATTTGGCAATTATGAGATGCACAGTAAATGCCAGCTTTCAGAGATGAAACGTTTTGTTCTAGAGTCACCTAACGAAACTTCATATTTTTGCACGAATTTGCAGAAATTAGGGAGGTAGAGGAGCCCGAACGAGACTGTGCTCCGCTTAAATGTAGTTGCGCGATGCAATGATTAACGTGTGTGATATAAAATCGGACATACGTACGCAAAATAGAGAGAGAGGTTGCGCTGAAATATATTTAACTTTCTTATATTTACCTTTACGAAAAACGATATCTCTGTCTACATTGTAACTTCTGTGAAAAATAAATGCAACCAAATATTGATTCTTATATTATTGCACAAGACGATTGTGCTCGTTATGTAAAGTAAGGTATATCTAGATACAACAAATAATCCGAAATCTATACAAAACGTTTCCAAAGCCTGTATAATAAACTTGTAAAAAGTTCTCTGTCTTACTCTCGCACTTGTTCAATTATATTTGAATGATTGAAGAACGAATTTAAACAAGTTTACTTATATGCACGAGCTCTTGGTCATTTTATGATAATGATGAGATAATTTTTTCTCAATTATATATAATTATTCAGTTATATATAATGAACATTTTATATATTAGATTATTTGTGTTTGGGTAAATTATAAATAAGCAATTAGAATTAATGAATATTGTTAGATATTATTTGCATTAATCTTGTCGTCAGAATGCCGGTAAAGTAAGAGCATCGATTCTATGCCGTCGAAAGAAAATAAATAAAAATAAATTATTTAAAAAAAAACTTTATTTTTTACACAGGGGTGTGAACGACTGAACATTGAGTTCGATACAATCTTAGAACATATATGATATGGAAGGGGAATGCCTATTATTTTCGAGAAAAATATGTTCGGACATATTTTTCTCTCGAAAATAATAGGCATTCCCCTTCCATTATTCAGTTATATATAATGAACATTTTATATATTAGATTATTTGTGTTTGTGTAAATTATAAATAAGCAATTAGAATTAATGAATATTGTTAGATATTATTTGCATTAATCTTGTCGTCAGAATGGTAAAGTAAGAGCATCGATTCTATGCCGTCGAAAGAAAATAAATAAAAATAAATTATTTAAAAAAGAACTTTGTTTTTTACACAGGGGTGTGAACGACTGAACATTGAGTTCGATACAATCTTAGAACATATATGATATGGAAGGGGAATGCCTATTATTTTCGAGAGAAAAATATGTTCGGACATACGCGCGAGTACGGCTTCGTCTCCGTCTTCGAGTCAATCGACTGCTCGTTGTACAATTACATGCACGAGCAGGACGAGCGAATAAGCGTGGAAGGTTGCAAAATATGTTCGGACATAGCGCGAGTACGGCTTTGTCTCAGTCTTCGAGTCAGTCGACTGCTCGTTGTACAATTACATGCACGAGCAGGACGAGCGAATAAGCGTGCAAGGTTGCAAAATATGTTCGGACATACGCGCGAGTACGGCCTCGTGCATGTAATTGTACAACGAGCAGTCGATTGACTCGAAGACTGAGACGAGGCCGTACTCGCGCGTATGTCCGAACATATTTTGTAACCTTGCACACTTATTCGATCGTCCTGCTCGTGCATGTAATTGTACAACGAGCAGTCGATTGACTCGAAGACGGAGACGATGCCGTACTCGCGCGTATGTCCGAACATATTTTTCTCTTGAAAATAATAGGCATTCCCCTTCCATATCATATATGTTCTAAGATTGTATCGAACTCAATGTTCAGTCGTTCACACCCTTGTGTAAAAAACAAAGTTCTTTTTTCGGACAAATTTCAATTCCCTATTGGTAACGAACATGATGGCCAATATGGCGGAACTGAGCCGGCTCAAGGTCCTTGCACAATGCTAGGCGATAGGAACAGAAAATAACCGCAGGTAATAGATTTCAACCTATCAGAATGCACATGCATTAATACACGGTTTCTGTTAATATTTTATTCCTACATATACATATGTATATATTTTTTTCTGCCGTAGTCGCCATATATGGGCATGCCCACCAGCATTAAACACGCGATAATACAGCCTCAGGTTTTGCATTCTGACACCCAAAGCTTTTATGAATCGACATTGTGGAAAAGAGAAAATATCCTATCAGAAACCGTGTATTAATGCATGTGCATTCTGATAGGTTGAAATCTATTACCTGCGGTTATTTTCTGTTCCTATCGCTATCGCCTAGCATTGTGCAAGGACCTTGAGCCGGCTCAGTTCCGCCATATTGGCCATCATGTTCGTTACCACCCCTCGACTGAACGACTGAACATTCAGTTCGATACAATTTACAGTTCTGTAGTCTGAAGTAGACTGTCGTCGTCGCTTAATGTAATATTATCATTTAAAAGAATTAGATTATAATTCAAGTTACTTCCAAATTCGTCGTCGATATAAAAGTCCTCAATCGTACATTGGCTGCCTTGCGTGTTCTGTAACAAAGATCGAATGAGCGATTTATATTAGAAAATTGTCTTCGCGTATTTACCTTTTTATACATAGCCCTTGGAGCATGTGCCACTGTCAAATTATTCAGTCTTGCGGGTAGAAAACGTCTTCTTGGCGAGTCTTTTATTATAGTACCGTTCAAAGTAGTGATGGAACTGAGCGTTTCGCTATTTATGAAAGCTTCATTAAAAATTGTTCGTTTCGGTAGTGAGAAATCCTGAAACGAAATGATATTGAAGTATAAACTTGAATTTGTAATAGCATAAAACATATACGTTGTGGTAATAATAATGTACATAATATTATTTGTATATACCCCAGTGTATTCTTTGGTATTGCGTGCCATTCGCGATAAGCAAATTTCTTTTTCTCTTTTCCACGATGTCGATTCATAAAAGCTTTGGGTGTCAGAATGCAAAACCTGAGGCTGTATTATCGCGTGTCTAATGCTGGTGGGCATGCCCATATATGGCGACTACGGCAGAAAAAAATATATACATATGTATATGTAGG